CCCCCGGGCAACAGGGGATCATGGGGCCCCTGTGTCCTTGCCCAAACTCAAAAAAGCCTATGAAAAAGGTACCAGGGGCATCTCATGGGGCCCCCTACTGACCCCGGGCCCTCGGGCAGTGCCTGAGTTTCCAAATGGTCAGTCCGCCCCTGATTGGGGGATATAGTGTCTGATTGTTAGCATCAATAGGAAGAATAGTGCCCCATAGATGGTGTCAGTAGGGGAAATGGTGCCCCGTCATTGGTGTCATTGGTGTCAGTAGGGGAAATGGTGCCCCGTCATTGGTGTCAGTAGGGGAATGGTGCCCCGTCATTGGTGTCAGTAGGGGAAATGGTGCCCCGTCATTGGTGTCAGTAGGGGAATGGTGCCCCGTCATTGGTGTCAGTAGAGGGAATGGTGCCCCGTCATTGGTGTCAGTAGGGGAATGGTGCCCCGTCATTGGTGTCAGTAGGGGAAATTGTGTCTCATCATTGGTGTCAATAGAGGAAATTGGGTCTCATCATTGGTGTCAGTAGAGGGAATGGTGTAGATGAGACCTCCTGTGCTGAAATGGATGTCCTATTCCTAAACAGCTCACACTGGCCTTAACCACAAGGTGTATATACATAAAAGAAAAAATAGTGAAGCGCTCAAAATAACAGCTACCTATAGGTACATGCATACTATGATATAATGCAGAGGGTAACAAATAAAAGATCGATAAACACTCAAGTGAAATGAATATATAATGCAATATTACAGTGCAGGCGCTCCTAAAACACTGCAAATACAGTACATGCTATGTGACAGTCCGTAGTAGATATTCCGAACTTGGTGGCCAGTACACACGACACAGCAAACAACATGAGGTGATCACAGTACCACACAATGTGCAAAATCCGTAAACGGCCAAAGTGGCTCCTCACTCCTTAACCATTTCAATACCGGGCAATTTTACCCCTTCCTGCCCAGGCCATTTTTCAGGTTTCAGCGCTCTCACATTTTGAATGACAATTGCGCGGTCATATGACATTGTACCCAAACTAAAATTTTATAATTTTCTTCACACAACTAGAGCTTTCTTTTGGTGGTATTTAATCACCACTGGGATTTTTATTTTTTGCTAAATTAACAAAAAAAAGACCAAAAATTTTTTCTTTGTTTCTGTTATAAAAGTTTACAAATAAATAATTGTTCTTCATAAATTTAGGCCGAGATGTATTCTGCTACATGTCTTTGGTGAAAATAACCCAAATTAGGATGTATTATTTAGTTTGTAGGAAAGTTATAGAGTTCACAAACTATGGTATAGATCTGAATATCGATCAATCCTGAAGTACTGACAGCCAATCTAATTTCTTGAGGTCCAAGAATGTCAGAATAGTACAGATATCCCCCAAATGTCAGGACAGTACAGATATCCCCCAAATGTCAGGAAGTGTCCCCCAAATGTCAGACAGTACAGATATCCCCCAAATGTCAGGACAGTACAGATATCCCCCAAATGTCAGGACAGTACAGATATCCCCCAAATGTCAGGACAGGACAGATATCCCCCAAATGTCAGGACAGATATCCCCCAAATGTCAGGACAGGACAGATATCCCCCAAATGACCCCTTTTTGCAGAGTAGACAGTCCGACGTACTTCATAAGAGGAATGGCGAGTTTTTTGAAGTTGTATTTTTTTTGTCATAATTTTTCGGAAAATGAAAAAATTATTTTCACTATTTTTTTTTTTACATACTGTCACCAGTGCAGTACAGCATCATCATATAACTGGCATGGCGGTGAACAGGGATACTGACTGGTGACAGTATGAAAAAAAAATATATATATATATATATATTTTTTTTTTTAATTATTTTTAATTTTTTTATTACATTTTTTTAATTTTTTTTTAAGATTTTTTTTTTCATATTTTACTATGACCAAAGTAGTACAATGTTACCATAGTAACATTGTACTACTTTGGGGAAGTGATCAGTATTTTTTTTTTTTTACACAATTTGCTTATAGCAAAGAATTACTTTGCTATAAGCAAGCATTTACCTGAATGAAATTGATTCATTCGGGTTTTTTTTTTTTGTGCTTAGCTGTGATTTGGTCACAGCTAATCACATGACATGTGCATGTGATTAGCTGTGACCATTCACAGCTAGGCACTAGTATACAATGGATGGCATGAATGAAGCCATCCATTGTATACAACTGTCATGTGACCTGCTGTGATTGGTCACAGCAGGTCACATGGTACCGGCAACGGGGGCCGGTACTCAGATCTGTCATCGGCCGTGTCCGAGGTACACGGCCAGTGACATATCGCACCGCTGCGCGGCTCTGCATTAGCGCAAACTGCGCATGTGCGGGAGCACGCCAAATTGCGTGCACCTGGAATGCCGAAGCACTTTTGAAGCCGCCAAACGGCCATTGGCCGGGCGGCTAATGGTTAATATGACCCACAGGGCCACAAATGGATATCGTCAGGGCTGAACCACTTGAAAGAACGACCTCAGTACTCCTGGATCTTCTCCTATTTCAGGGATGCTCAAACACACGTGCCCATTGCAGGCTAATAATAAAAAAACAGAAAAAATCCTCCATAATGTAATCCTGCTTTTATTATACAGTATATAAAACACAAAGCCAAATGCCCGCTCACATTCTTAATAAAACACAAAAGCCTTTTTCCCATATCATGGGTGTATACTCATGGTTCTGGTGCTGAGTGCTAACATGCGGCTCCACTCGCTCCACAATAACTCCAAAGATGGCATCCACGCCGGAAACGTCACGTCACCGCGTTCCCGGAAGTGCTGTCAGTGCGTTCCGACGCGTTGCGTCACGATCCACGTGACTTCTTCAGGGTGAAACGCCCCTCCTGACAGCTCTGCCTAAAAATAGGCGGCCAGGGCGTTGATCCACTACGGGAAGAAACGCCCCCTGCAGCCATAATTCCAGAGACCAGTCTGCCACACCTGTCAAGGTCCTACCTTTTACCAGAGACTGTGCGGCTTCATGTACTGGCGTCCATCTTGGGTTTCTGCAGAGCATGGTGGGAGTCTTTTATGCCCTCAGGTCTCCGAGGTCCATCCCCCAGAGGGGTGTGGCTGAGTACATATAAGCCTGTGATCCGCACATGCTCTTTGCACTTGTGTCTTGCTACAGTTCTGTGTATACTCTCGTGACTCTTCTGGTATCTGACTCGGCTTGTGACTCGACCATTCTCTGTGTTTTCCTTCGATCTGACCTTCCGTTGCTGAACTCGGCCCCTGACCTGTGATTCTCTGTCTACTGTTCTGTACCGTTTGTCCCGTTGTTGTCGACCCGGCCTGTCTGACTACGCTATTGTCATTCTTACCAGCTACACGCCATTGGCGGCGGCCATTACCGCAGCCGGGGTGTCTCAGGGGCCGCGACCTGGTTCCTGGCTGCGTCAAGTCCATCCCCACCATCAGGAGCCCTGGTGAAGGGCAGCCTGGGACTTAGACTCCGCGCCCTGAGAGACTCCGGTCTGTGGGTGGTGGTTGTCGTCAGTCAGTGCGTTACCCTGCCCCGAGGCCTACCTGTCCGTTCCACAGCCCTGCCCTGACAACTCCATGTTGATGGTGACTGATGTCTCACCAAAAAACGGCCAACCCGGCGGGTGTAACAAATTTAAGACAACACTAGTGGCCAAAAAGAGCATACAGGAAAAAAAGGTATGGTATGGGTATCTGTGAAGGCTGTTCCGCACCTTTATGAGCATACACTATTACCTGTAAGGAAGGGTTTTTGTATGTTCCCCTTTTTTTCTGTATGCTCTTTTTGGCCTGTTGTCCCCGGCCATGGCACAATGCTCTGAAGGAACGGCACGGCTATGCCTTCAGAGTGTATGAGCCGGCTGTCAAAAAGAGCGACTATCTCTTTAGGAGATATTAATTTTGCCTACAGGTTACTTTATTATAAGCTCACCTGTAGGTAAAAATAAAAATCCGGAGATTACAACCACTTTAATTATTGCCACAGCATGTGTACAGTCCTCAGTGGCTGGATGTCTGTGTTCAGGTGGGTCTTTGAGGGAAGTAAAACTGCAGTGCAAATGCCTTGTTTTACCACCCCCCCCCCCCCCCCCCCCCCCCCGAGTCACACAGGTGAACAAACCCTTAGAGCAGGGGTGTCAAACTGGTGGCCTTCCAGCTGTTGCGGAACTACAAGTCCCATCATGCCCCTGCTTTTGGGAGTCATTCATGTAACTACCAGCTTTGCAATGCCTCATGGGACTTATAGTTTGGCAACAGCTGGAGGGCCACTAATTTGACACCCCTGCCTTAGAGCATTGACACAGGAACAGGCTTCCCAATTGGAGGATTTTCCTTTACCTCTATATACACTTTAAGCTCCACAAATTGTTTAGGGTAAGGTCAGCGGTTGGGAGGTCCTTCCTCTTCAGACGCTATGCAAAAACCTAGCCCTTATGGGGTTTGGCCATCGGATGGTGCTGTTCTCTTAGTCGCTCTTTATTTGCAGCTGGCGCCCTCCTCTGGTGTCCCTCAATAAAAATGTTTTTCCTTCTCATACACTTTGGGCACCAACATTTTTTCTAGCACCAGGCAGGTGGTAGGGGTTGGGGTTTTGAACCTGCAGAGATGGGTGGTAGAGGTCCTCTTCCTCTGGCAGTTATGGGCTTTGGCTACCAGATGGTGCCCTTCCTTTGTTGCTTTTTATTTGTACCTAGCACCCCCTCCTCTGCAGGAGGCACTGTAACCCAATGGTAATGATATATGGCTCTCACTATGTCCCTCAATGAACTTGAGACTTGCGTTTAAGTACTGGGATGGGTTGAGTTGGGCTTTTATTTCTATGACAGGCTTGCTTTATTATAAACATGGTGGGGGGGAACACACGTGTGCAGTACATCACAGCAAGCAATGAGAATTCACAAGTTCAGTTTAGACCCCAACCATAAACGCCAACTTTTGATTGACTGTTCTTGGTGACTGAGGTGGAATATAGACACAGAAGTGGAGACTGGCCATGGACTCAGGACACCTGTCTCTTGATGGCCTCTTTGAGGACATGGAGCTTGCCGTCTCTCAGAGCCCCCCGCACAGAGTGGAAGAAGTTGAAATAATGCTGGAAGTTGTGTATGATCAGCAAGATGCCGGCCAGTAACTCTTTGGAGGTCAGGAGGTGGTGGACGTAGGCCCGGCTGTGGTTGCGGCAACAGTAACACGTACAGCCTGGAAGCAGCGGTCTGAAGTCTTCCCGGAACCTGGAGGACGGGAAGTGATAGAGATAGAACATGCTCATTTCACAAAGCTTTAAAACCAGCCTAAGGCACTCTATTTTCAGCCACGTGACTGTAATCTTCAAATTTCATTGAACTGAGATTAACCAGAAAACACTAAGATAACGTATTAAAAGTGTACATAAACCCGTATTGTGTGGAGATTTTGTATTTTTGTGAAAGCTGGAGATGGACTTTGAGTAAATGAAAGTTACTCAAAGCCAGGAACATTGGTCAGGAGGCCCCAACTCTTGACCTCTGATGTGACATAAGAATCCAGCAATCAATCCAGCTGAGACTACCAGATCCTCATGGAAAGGACCACAGCCTAAATCAGCAGGCCAACTGTCTGCCTAAATTTCCATGGTTATATTTGCAGGAGCTTCACACATTAGGTCACCCAATCAAAAGTCAACCAGGGTTCCTCCAGAGGTTGAGGAGCCCTATTGCACCACACCTTCAAAGCCTTGAGCTGTGGTTGACTGACCTCCCGTTTGATGGTGCCTACATAGTTCCAGGACCAATACCACTTGATAGAGACAGCTGCATGACTCCATTGATCTTTTTAAGCTGCCCATTAAGGTTGCATTCTGACCACCACGGTAAGGGGGGGCATTCTTCCCACTGAGCTCCAATGTAAGGGGGCATTCTTCCCACTGATTCCAATGTAAGGGGCATTCTTCCCACTGGCTACCAATGTAAGGGGCATTCTTCCCACTGGCCACCAATGTAAGGGGCATTCTTCCCACTGGCCACCAATGTAAGGGGCATTCTTCCCACTGGCCACCAATGTAAGGAGCATTCTTCCCACTGACACCAATGTAAGGGGCATTCTTCCCACTGATCACCAATGTAAGGGGCATTCTTCCCACTGGCCACCAATGTAAGGGGCATTCTTCCCACTGGCCACCAATGTAAGGGGCATTCTTCCCACTGACACCAATGTAAGGGGCATTCTTCCCACTGATCACCAATGTAAGGGGCATTCTTCCCACTGACCACCAATGTAAGGGGCATTCTTCCCACTGACCACCAATGTAAGGGGCATTCTTCCCACTGACCACCAATGTAAGGGGCATTCTTCCCACTGATCACCAATGTAAGGGACATTCTTCCCACTGACCCCAATGTAAGGGACATTCTTCCCACTGATCACCAATGTAAGAGACATTCTTCCCACTGATCACCAATGTAAGGGACATTCTTCCCACTGACACCAATGTAAGGGACATTCTTCCCACTGACCTCCAATGTAAGGGGCATTCTTCCCACTGACCACCAATGTAAGGGGCATTCTTCCCACTGATCACCAATGTAAGGGGCATTCTTCCCACTGACCACCAATGACACCAATGTAAGGGGCATTCTTCCCACTGACACCAATGTAAGGGGCTGCTTTCCCACTGACTCCCAATGAATTGATTTTAGCAGGGATTCCACCAGACCTGAAAATTATTTCAAGGGTTCTTGTTAAGTAAAAAGGTTTCAAAGGCTGCTTCAGACACATGTTCCCGGTCCTGCCCAGGCACATTCTTCTGCCACAATCAGCTGCCAAACAGCACTTGGCGTTGGTTAAAATACTGTATTAAGCATGTGCAATACAAAGTATCAAAAAGCATAGCAGTATTAAATAAAGTAAAACAGGTTCCGGAATATAAATCACTCTGTGTTTTATACCGTTCAGTGGTTCTTCCATATCTTAATGATTGTGCAGAGGTTTGGGGAAATAATGATATAACTAGAATACATTGGATATAAAAGTCTACACACCCCTATTAAAATGTCAGGTTTCTGTGATATAAACAAATGAGACAAAGATAAATCATTTCAGAACTTTTTCCACCTTTAATGTGACCTATAAACTGTACAACTCAATTGAAAAACAAACTGAAATCTTTTATGGGGGGGGGGGGGGGAAAGTAAACATAAACAACTAAAATAATGTGGTTGCATAAATGTGGACACCCTCTTATAACTGGGGATGTAGCTGTGTTAGAATTAAGCAATCACATTCCAAATCATGTTATATAGGAGTCAGTACACACCTGCCATCATTTTACGTGCCTCTGATTAACCCCAAATAAAGTTCAGCTGTTCTAGTAGGTCTCTCCTGACATTTTCTTAGTCGCATCCTACAGCAACAGCCATGGTCCAGAGAGAGATTCCAAAGCATCAGAGGTATCTCATTGTTAAAAGGTATCAGTCAGGAGAAGGGTACAAAAGAATTTCCAAGGCATTAGATATACCATGGAACACAGTGAAGACAATCATCATCAAGTGGAGAAAATATGGCGCAATAATGCAACAGTGACATCACCAAGAACTGGACGTCCCTCCAAATGGATGAAAAGACGATAAGAAAACTGGTCTGGGAGGCGGCCAAGAGGCCTACAGCAACATTAAAGGAGGTGCAGGAATATCTGGCAAAGTACTGGTTGTGTGGTCCATGTGACACCAATCTCCGTATTCTTCATATGTCTGGGCTATGGGGTAGAGTGACAAGATGGAAGCCTTTTCTTAAAAAACATCCAAGCCCGGCTAAATTTTGCGTAAACCACATCTGAAGTCTCCCAAAAGCATGTGGGAAAATGTGTTCTGGTCTGATGAAACCAAGAGTGAACTTTTTGGCCATAATTCCAAAAGATATGTTTGGTGCAAAAACAACACTGCACATCACCAACAGAACACCATACCCACAGTGAAGCATGGTGGTGGCAGCATCATGCTTTGGGGCTGTTTTTCTTCATCTGTAACTGGGGCCTTAGTCAAGGTAGAGGGAATTCTGAACAGTTCCAAACACCAGTCAATATTGGCACAAAACCTTCAGGCTTCTGCTAGAAAGCTGAACATGAAGAGGAACTTCATCTTTCAGCATTACAACCACCCAAAGCATCCATCCAAATCCACAAAGGAATGGCTTCACCAGAAGAAGATGAAAGTTTTGGAATGGCCCAGCCAGAGTCCAGACCTGAATTCCATCGAAGATCTGTGGGGTGATCTGAAGAGGGCTGTGCACAGGAGATGCCCTCGCAATCTGACAGATTTGGAGTGTTTTTGCAAGGAAGAGCGGGCAAATATTGCCAAGTCAGGATGTGCCATGCTGATAGACTCCTCCCCAAAAAGACTGAGTGCTGGAATCACATCAAAAGGGGCTTCAACAAAGTATCAGTTTAAGGGTGTGCACACTTATGCAACCATATTATTTTCGGTTTTTTTTTGTACAGTTTATAGGTTACATTAAAAGGTGGAAAAAGTTCTGAAATGATTTATCTTTGTTTTATTTTTTTACATCACAGAAACCTGACATTTCACCAGGGGTGTGTAGACTTTTTATATCCACTGTATATCTATTAATCACACTGCGAAAGAATGCAATAAAGGATCATTTATGGGGTAGAATATAGAGATCACACAAACGCATTCTTACAGTCAAAACTCCTGAAATTTAAGGACATGATGCAATTACAGACGGCACAAATAATATTTAACTACCTCAGTCCCAAGCCATTTCTGGCACTTTTTGTCTACATTTTAAAATCAGTCTTTTTTTTCTAGAAAATGTCTTCAAACATTTGTTTGATGATCTGAATCATGTAAGTGTGTCTGTACAGTTGCAAGAAAAAGTATGTGAACCCCTTGGGATTATGTGGAGTTTTGCATGAATTGGGCATAAAATGTGCTCTGAACGTCATCTAAATCACAACAATAGAAGAACACAGTCTGCTGAACATAATACTACACAAACTTTAGATGTTGCCATGGTTTAATTGCACATAACATGTAAACATTCACAGTGCAGGGAGGAAAAAGTATGTGAACCTTTGGACTTAATAACTGGTTGACCCTCCTTTGGCAGCAATAACCTCAACCAAACGTTTCCTGTAGTTGCAGATCAGACCTGCACAACCATCTGGAGTCATTTTGGACCACTCCTCTTCACAAAACTGTTTCAGTGTTGCAATATTCTTGGGGTGTCTGGTGTGAATCGCTCTCTTAAGGTCATGCCACAGCATTTCAATGGGGTTGAGGTCAGGACTCTGACTGGGCCACTCCAGAAGGCGTATTCTGTGCTGTTGCAGCCATTGTTTTGTTGAATGACTTGTATGCTTTGGGTCATTGTCCTGTTGCATCACCCATCCTCTGCGGAGCTTCAGTTGGCGGACAGATGGTCGTACGTTTTCCTGCAAAATGTCTTGTTAAACCCTGGAATTCATTTTCCCATCAATGACAACAATCCGTCCAGGCCCTGAGGCAGCAAAGCAGCCCCAAACCATGATGCTCCCTCCGCCATGTTTCACAGTGGGGATGAGGTTTTGATGTTGGTGTGCTGCGCCTTTTTTTCTCCACACATAGTGTTGTGTGTTCTTCCCAAACAACTCAATCTTGGTTTCATCTGTCCACAGTATATTTTGCCAGTAGTGCTGTGGAACATCCAGGTGCTCTTTTGCAAACTTCAAACGTGCTGCAATATTCTTATTGGACAGCAATGGCTTCCTCCGTGGTGTCCTCCCGTGTACTCCATTCTTGTTTAATGTTTTCCTTATTGTAGATGTGTCAACAAAAATGTTAGCATGTGCCAGAGATTTCTGTAGGTCTTTAGCTGACACTCTGAGATTCTTCTTTACCTCATGCAGCATTCTGCGCTGTGCTCTTGCAGTCATTTTTACAGGACGACCACGCCTAGGGAGAGTAGCAGCAGTGCTAAACTTTCTCCATTTGTAGACAGTCTGTCTTACCGTGGACACATGAACATCAAGGCTTTTGGAGATACTTTTGTAACCCTTTCCAGCTTCATGCAAGTCAACAATTCTTGATCGTAGGTCTTCTGAGAGCTCTTTTCTGCGAGGCATGGTTCACATCAGACAGTGCTTCTTGAAACCAGTAAACCCAAAACAGGTGTGTGTTTTTTAAGGGCAGGACAGCTGTCAGCAACACATCCAATATCATCACACTGATTGGAGTCAAGGTTGGCTCACTCCTGGCTCCAATTAGCTCTGGGAGAAGTCATTAAGCTAGGGCCTCACATACTTTTTCCTCCCTGCACTGTGAATGTTTACATGTTATGTGCAATTAAACCATGGCAACATCTAATGTTTGTGTAGTATTATGTTCAGCAGACTGTGTTCTTCTATTGTTGTTGTGACTTAGATGACGTTCAGAGCACATTTTATACCCAATTCATGCAAAACTCCACGTAATCCCAAGGGGTTCACATACTTTTTCTTGCAACTGTATGTATGTACATATGTATGATTGTGTAACAAAAATTATTAGTATTGAATGTAATATATTAGAATTAATATAGTATAACTTTAGACTGACGGAAAGCTGGATCATTTATTATTATTATTATTATTATTATTATTATTATGGAGAAGGGGTGGAAAATAAACTATTGCTTCTTTTCACTTCTTTTCGGATATGTAAATCAACTTATTTTTTGTTTCGTTTTAGGTTTTCTTTTGTAATCAGTTTTCTTTGTGTCTGTCTACTCCTATACAATTACTTTGTTATTTTTTCTTTTCTTTTTTTTTTTTTTCACACCTTCGAAATAAAACTACTACTAATGAATAATTTGCTGTCAGTAGAGCACCTATAGGAACCATCTTTTCTAACTTCTTCGGTAAAAACCCCCCCCCCCCCAGCTCATATTAGCGGAGGAACCTATTGTTGCATTCCCACAACATCACAGAAAAAGGAAGCTGGGGTGCAGCAAAATTGTGAGGGAGCCTTTCCAGTTGGCAGCTTTAGGGACTATAGATACAAATGGAACATTTCAATCCTCCAACACTCCACAGAGGTGTAGCGCCCCCTATGGAACAGATGAAATGTTACAACACTCGATCCATCTCAAACTGTGCTGTTCTCCCCATGACATGAGTGTGGATCTGTAAAGGGAATATGTAGGTGGGAGGGGGGGGGGGGGGTGAGGTCTATAAAACGGACATCTGTATTCATTTCCTGGCGCTAATCCATAGCAGCATACATGTGGTAGTATGCAGCCACCATCTCTCCCACCCCACACGCCAAAGTCCTGGTTGTCACCCTGGACTCCCACCTCTCCTTCCTACCCCACACAACTGCCTAACTGCAGGCTCCACCTCTGCAACATCTCCAAGATACGCACATTCCTCACCCCAGACACCACCAAACAACTCGTACACTCCCTCATCATCTCACGCCTGGACTACTGCAACTCCCTTCTCACCGGCCTACCCAAACGAACGCTATCCCCACTCCAGTCTATCCTGAACTCAGCGGCCAGACTCATCCACCTCACCAAGAGCTCCACATCTGCCTCCCCCCTCTGCCAATCCCTTCATTGGCTCCCGATTGCCCAACGCATCAAATTCAAACTGCTAACCCTGACCTACAAAGCCATTCACAATGCCACCCCAAACTACATAACTGACCTGATACCCAAATACTACCCTACCCGTGCCCTCCGCTCCTCACAGGACCTCCTACTCTCTAGCTCCCTGGTCTCCTCCTCCCACGCCCGATTGCAGGACTTCTCTAGGACTTCCCCCATCTTCTGGAACTCCCTACCCCAATCCATCAGACTGTCACCTACCCTCCTCCTTCAGGCACACCCTGAAAACCCTCCTCTTCAGGGAAGCCTACCCCAACCTCACCTAACAACTAACCTCCTCCACTCCTCCCACCACTCCATCCCCCACAGCCATTTCCTCCTGTACCACCTTCCCCTCCCTCCTAGATTGTAAGCTCGACAGAGCAGGGCCCTCGAACCCCTCGTGTATTGTATTGTTACTGTCTTGTCTCATGTTCTGTCCCCCTTGCTACTGTACAGCGCTGAGCATACCCTTTGGCGCTATATAAATACTGTATAATAATAATAATAATAATGTTGGCGCCAGGAAAACACAAAATTGTATTAAATGGCTACTGTAATTTTCCTTTCCTGGTGCCAATCCATGGAAGCATGCTACTACATGTATGCTGCCATATTGGTGCCAGAAAATAGGAATTTGCCACAGACAAAACAAACCAGCGCTCAAATCTTCATGCAGACTAAAAGGAATTCAGAATGCCAAACGAAGAGGTGCTGCCCTTCAAAGATTGGGAAATCTGGACACTGATGAACAAAAGCAGACATAGGCGCACTCTCATCGTGCATTACAGTGGTACTCACCACGTGTTTATTGTGTAGACAAATAGATGTATACTCACACAACCAAAGGAAATTAAAAGCAGAATATGTAGTCTGCAATGACAGTCAATACAATGCTGTGCCCTGAGGAAGGGGGTTCGTCTCCCGAAACGCGTCAGCTTATCCCTATTAAGGGCACAGCATTGTATTGACTGTCATTGCGAACTACATATTCTGCTTTTAAATTCCTTTGGTTTGTGAGCAGGCGCGGACTGACAACTCATGGGGCCCCCGGGCAATAGGGGATCATGGGGCCCCTGTGTCCTTGCCCAAACTCAAAAAAGCCTATGAAAAAGGTACCAGGGGCATCTCATGGGGCCCCCTACTGGCCCTGGGCCCTCGGGCAGTGCCCGAGTTTCCAAATGGTCAGTCCGCCCCTGTTTGTGAGTATACATCTATTTGTCTACACAACAGCAGTCCATAAGACTGCAGCTCACATTTGGCCGGAAAACTACACCTGATTGGTTGGCCAGACCTCCATGTTTCCTGCCTTGTAATACCTCTTCTCCTTCAGACAGATTTCATAGGAGGTGATCTGGGATCGGTCGATCTCTGGTTCCTCATTCTTTGTCTTCTCTTCCCCGTTCTTCTCACCATCGCAGAGCTCGGCCTTGTCTAGTACTAGAAATAAAAGTCACATGGTCACTCTTGTGGGAATATCTGAGGCCAAGAGAAGACCGATAAATCACTGGAGAGCAGCAGAGCATGGAAAGCCTTACATTTTATATTTATTTCAGGTACTTACAGTTGCAAGAAAAAGTATGTGAACCCCTTGGGATTCCGTGGAGTTTTGCATGAATTGGGCATAAAATGTGCTCTGAACGTCATCTAAGCCACAACAATAGAAGAACACAGTCTGCTGAACATAATACTACACAAACATTAGATGTTGCCATGGTTTAATTGCACATAACATGTAAACATTCACAGTGCAGGGAGGAAAAAGTATGTGAACCTTTGGACTTAATAACTGGTTGACCCTCCTTTGGCAGCAATAACCTCAACCAAACGTTTCCTGTAGTTGCAGATCAGACCTGCACAACGATCTGGAGTCATTTTGGACCACTCCTCTTCACAAAACTGTTTCAGTGTAGCAATATTCTTGGGATGTCTGGTGTGAATCGCTCTCTTAAGGTCATGCCACAGCATTTCAATCGGGTTGAGGTCAGGACTCTGACTGGGCCACTCCAGAAGGTGTATTCTGTGCTGTTGCAGCCATTGTTTTGTTGAATTACTTGTATGCTTTGGGTCATTGTCCTGTTGCATCACCCATCCTCTGCGGAGCTTCAGTTGGCGGACAGATGGTCGTACGTTTTCCTGCAAAATGTCTTGATAAACTCTGGAATTCATTTTCCCATCAATGACAACAATCCATCCAGGCCCTGAGGCAGCAAAGCAGCCCCAAACCATGATGCTCCCTCCGCCATGTTTTACAGTGGGGATGAGGTTTTGATGTTGGTGTGCTGTGCCTTTTTTTCTCCACACATAGTGTTGTGTGTTCTTCCCAAACAACTCAATCTTGGTTTCATCTGTCCACAGTATATTTTGCCAGTAGTGCTGTGGAACATCCAGGTGCTCTTTTGCAAACTTCAAACGTGCTGCAATCTTCTTTTTGGACAGCAATGGCTTCCTCCGTGGTGTCCTCCATGTACTCCATTCTTGTTTAATGTTTTCCTTATTGTAGATGTGTCAACAAAAATGTTAGCATGTGCCAGAGATTTCTGTAGGTCTTTAGCTGACACTCTGGGATTCTTCTTTACTTCATGCAGCATTCTGCGCTGTGCTCTTGCAGTCATTTTTACAGGATGACCACGCTAGGGAGAGTAGCAACAGTGCTAAACTTTCTCCATTTGTAGACAGTCTGTCTTACCATGGACACATGAAACATCAAGGCTTTTGCAGATACTTTTGTAACCCTTTCCAGCTTCATGCAAGTCAACAATTCTTGATCGTAGGTCTTCTGAGAGCTCTTTTCTGCGAGGCATGGTTCACTTTAGACAGTGTTTCTTGAAACCAGCAAACCCAAAACAGGTGTGTGTTTTTTAAGGGCAGGACAGCTGTCAGCAACACATCCAATATCATCACACTGATTGGAATCAAGGTTGGCTCACTCCTGGCTCCAATTAGCTCTGGGAGAAGTCATTAAGCTAGGGCCTCACATACTTTTTCCTCCCTGCACTGTGAATGTTTACATGTTATTGTGCAATTAAACCATGGCAACATCTAATGTTTGTGTAGTATTATGTTCAGCAGACTGTGTTCTTCTATTGTTGTGACTTAGATGACGTTCAGAGCACATTTTATGTCCAATTCATGCAAAACTCCACGTAATCCCAAGGGGTTCACATACTTTTTCTTGCAAACTGTATATAGCGCTGTCAATTTATGCCGCGCTTTACATATATGTTGTACATTCCCATCAGTCCCTAACCCTCAAGGGACGTACAATCTAAGGTCCCTAACCCTCAAGGGGCGTACAATCTAAGGTCCCTAACCCTCAAGGGGCGTACAATCTAAGGTCCCTACCCCTCAAGGGGCGTACAATCTAAGTCCCTACCCCTCAAGAGGCGTACAATCTAAGGTCCCTACCCTCAAGGGGTGTACAATCTAAGGTCCCTAACCCTCAAGGGGCGTACAATCTAAGGTCCCTAACCCTCAAGGGGCGTACAATCTAAGGTCCCTACCCTCAAGGGGCGTACAATCTAAGGTCCCTAACCCTCAAGGGGCGTACAATCTAAGGTCCCTAACCCTCAAGGGGCGTACAATCTAAGGTCCCTAACCCTCGAGGAGCGTACAATCTAAGGTCCCTAACCCTCAAGGGGTGTACAATCTAAGGTCCCTAACCCTCAAGGGGTGTACAATCTAAGGTCCTTAACCCTCAAGGGGCGTACAATCTAAGGTCCCTAACCCTCAAGGGGTGTACAATCTAAGGTCCCTAACCCTCAAGGGGTGTACAATCTAAGGTCCTTAACCCTCAAGGGGTGTACAATCTAAGGTCCTTAACCCTCAAGGGGCGTACAATCTAAGGTCCCTAACTCACATACAGTGGGGCAAAAAAGTATTTAGTCAGCCACCAATTGTGCAAGTTCTCCCACTTACAAAGATGAGAGAGGCCTGTAATTGGCATCATAGGGAGACCTCAACTATGAGAGACAAAATGAGAAAACAAATCCAGACAATCACATTGGCTGATTTGGAAAGAATTTATTTGCAAATTATGGTGGAAATTAAGTATTTGGTCACCTACAAACAAGCAAGATTTCTGGCTCTCACAGACCTGTACCTTCTTCTTTAAGAGGCTCCTCTGTCCTGCACTCATTACCTGTATCAATGGCACCTGTTTGAGGTTGTGGACAGGTGTCTTTTATACTGAGAACAAGTTCAAACAGTCACACTCCAAACTCCACTATGGTGAAGACCAAAGAGCTGTCGAAGGACACCAGAAACAAAATTGTAGACCTGCACCAGGCTGGGAAGACTGAATCTGCAATAGGCAAGCAGCTTGGTGTGAACAAAACAACTGTGGGAGCAATAATTAGAAAATGGAAGACATACAAGACCACTGATAATCTCCCTCGATCTGGGGGCTCCATGCAAGATCTCACCCCGTGGGGTCAAAATGATCACAAGAACGGTGAGCAAAAATCCCAGGACCACACGGGGGGACCTAGTGAATGACCTGCAGAGAGCTGGGACCAACGTAACAAAGGCTACCATCAGTAACACACTACGCTGCCAGGGACTCAGATCCTGCAGTGCCAAACGTGTCCCCCTGCTTAAGCCAGTACATGTCCGGGCCCGTCTGAAGTTTGCTAGAGAGCATTTGGATGATCCAGAAGAGGATTGGGAGAATGTCATTTGGTCAGATGAAACCAAAATAGAACTGTTTGGTAGAAACACAACTCGTCGTGTTTGGAGGAGAGAGAATGCTGAGTTGCATCCAAATAACACCATACCTACTGTGAAGCATGGGGGTGGCAACTTCATGCTTTGGGGCTGTTTCTCCGCAAAGGGACCAGGACGACTGATCCATGTACAGGACAGAATGAATGGGGCCATGTATCGTGAGATTTTGAGTGCAAACCTCCTTCCATCAGCAAGGGCATTGAAGATGAAACGTGGCTGGTTCTTCCAACATGACAATGATCCTAAACATACCGCCCGGGCAATGAAGGAGTGGCTTCGTAAGAAGCATTTCAAGGTCCTGGAGTGGCCTAGCCAGTCTCCAGATCTCAATCCCATAGAAAACCTTTGGAGGGAGTTGAAAGTCCGTGTTGCCCAGCGACAGCCCCAAAACATCACTGCTCTAGAGGAGATCTGCATGGAGGATGGGCCAACATACCAGCAACAGTGTGTGCCAACCTTGTGAAGACTTACAGGAAACGTCTGACCTCTGTCATTGCCAACAAAGGATATATAACAAAGTATTGACATGAACTTTTCATATTCACCAAATACTTATTTTCGACCATAATTTGCAAATAAATTCTTTCCAAATCAGCCAATGTGATTGTCTGGATTTGTTTTCTCATTTTGTCTCTCATAGTTGAGGTCTCCCTATGATGCCAATTACAGGCCTCTCTCATCTTTGTAAGTGGGAGAACTTGTACAATTGGTGGCTGACTAAATACTTTTTTGCCCCACTGTACACACATACTAGGGACAATTTAGACAGGAGCCAATTAACCTCCATGTCTTTTCAGTGCGGGCGGAAACCGGAGTACCCAGAGGAAGCCCACACAGGAACAGGGAGAACATGCAAACTCCAGGCAGGTGGTGCAGTGGTTGGGATTCGAACCAACGACCCGAGTACTGCCAGGCGGGAGTGCTAATCATTTAGCCACTGTGCTGCCCATCTTACATAGCCCTAAACTACCTCAAAACTGAAGCCATTCAGAATATGAATACTTTTTACTGCTATCCTGGCAGGTGCCCTTCTTCTAAACTGCAGGAAGTACCTGACACCCCAATATGCGGTTAGGGGGGTTCAAATTAGGAGAACACGGGGGGCAGCCCTGCCCAATGCAGTCCCAAAGCAAAGATAGGGCAAAAAGCCTTGTTCCCGATCATGGCTGGTAACAGCACCCCCGATGAAGGGGGAAAGGTTTTGACCCTCGAAATGCATTGACTTTCTTTATATGAACATCTATCAACAAGTTCTCTTACTTTATGGTCTGGCCATTCCTTTCTGGTGTTTCTATGGTGTGACCCGCCGACACGTGTCCATTGATGGGAGTCTTCCTGTATCGGAGCCGCCTCACCAGAGCTACGGAGCTTGTTCATAGTTCACCTTTATTTGCCTACACTAGGGGCTCCACAATGTTCAGCAAAACAAAGCAAGCAAGTAAACTTTAGCCCATCAGAGTCCCCTTCAGAGCTCCCTTACCTTGGAGTCCATTCTTACTTCAGAGTCCCCACAATATCAGTGTCCATATCAGAGTCCCTTCTTACATCAGTATACCTATTAGAGTCCCATTTACATTAGAGTCCCCATTAGGGTACCCATTAAAGTTCCCTCTTGCATCAGAGTCCCCCTTCTTACATCAGGGACCCCATCAAAGTCACTTCTTACATCAGTATCAACCCTTTGCATTAGTGTCCCCATTAGAATCTCCCTTACATCAGAGTTCCAATCAGAGTCCCCATTTATTTCATTGGTCCCCATCAAAGTTCTCTCTTACATCAGGGTTCACATCAGAGTCCCCCGGTTATATCAAGGGTTCCCATTAAAGTTCTCTTTTACATCAGAGCCCCCGTTACATTAGGGTCCCCATCAGTGTCCTTTCTTACATCAGTATCTCCATTAGAGTCCCATTTACATTAGAGTCCCCATTAGGGTACCCATAAAAATTTCCTCTTACATCAGAGTCCCCCTTTACATCAGGAACCCCATCAGAGTCCCACTTACATCAGTATCCCCATCAGTGGCCCCCTTTGCATTAGTGTTCCTATCAGAGTCCCCCATTACATCAGGGTTCACATCAGAGTCTCCCCTTATATCAGGGTTCACATCAGGGTACCCCTCTTATATCAATGGTCTCAATCATCGTTCTCTCTTAGATCAGAGTCCTCCTTTAAATCAGGGCTCAAATCATCGTTCTCTCTTACATCAGAGTCCTCCTTTAAATCAGGGCTCAAATCAGAGTTTCTCCCCCCATATCAGGGGTCCCCATCAAAGTTCTCTCTTACATCAGAGTCCACTCTTACATTAGGGTCCCCATCAAAGTTCTCTCTTTTATCTCGGTCCCACTTACATTAGAGTCCCGATTAGGGTACCCCCTTACATCAGGGACCCCATCTTACATCAGTATCCCCATCAGTGGCCCCCTTTGCATTAGTGTCCCTATCAGAGTTCCCCATTACATCAGGGTTCACATCAGAGTCTCCCCTTATATCACTGGTCATCATCAAAGTTCTCTTACATCAGAGTCCCCCCTTACATCAGGGACCCCATTAAAGTCACTTCTTACATCAGTATCAACCCTTTGCATTAGTGTCCCCATTAGAGTGCCCCTTACATCAGGGTTCCAATCAGAGTCCCCACTTATTTCAATGGTCCCCATCAAAGTTCTCTCTTACATCAGGGTTCACATCAGAGTCCCCCGGTTATATCAAGGGTCCCCATCAAAGTTCTCTTTTACATCAGAGCCCCCGTTACATTAGGGTCCCCATCAGTGTTCTTTCTTACATCGTTATCCCCATCAGAGTCCCCCTTTACATTATTGTCCCACATCAGAGCCCCACCTTGCATTTGTGTCCCCATCAAAGTTATCTCTTGCATTAGGGTCCCACTTACATTAGAGTCCCAATTAGGGTACCCCCTTACATCAGAGACCCATCAGAGTCCCTTCTTACATCAATATCAGTGGCCCCCTTTGCATTAGTGTCACCATTAGAGTCCCCCTTAATATCAATGATCCCCATCAAAGTTCTCTCTTTAAATCAGAGTCCACCCTTACATCAGGAATCACGTCAGAGCCCCCTCCCCCATATCAAGTCCCACTTGCATTACAGTCCCCATGAGGGCACCCCCTTACATCAGGGTCCCCATCAGAGCCCCCCTTACATCAGAGGGTCAGATAAAAAACTTTCAGAGGGTCAGATTTGGCCTGCAGGCCTTGGTTTGGAGACCCCTGGAGTACACATATCAGTTTTGAAATCCCAGTGCCTGTTCAATGTTCTCCTGGAGTGCAGCCTTGCCTGGCAGTACTGGTAAGAAACCAGCCTATTCAAGTAAAACTCAGTTCCCTTTTCTAAATGATATTTGTAAGCAGTTTTGATAACTGCAGAACTTCTGCTATGGCATTTCCATTTCCCTGACTGGTTTTACTCATTGTCAAGAGCTTCTCTATAATGGCTGGAAGGGACACTGGGGTAATGGGACCATATACAGGTGAAACTCGAAAAATGAGAATATGGTGCAAAAGTTCATTTATTTCAGTTCAGCAACTTAAAAGGTGAAACTAATATATGAGACTCATTACATGCAAAGCAAGATAGTTCAAGCCGTGATTTGTCATCATTGTGATGATTATGGCTTACAGCTCATGAAAACCCCAAATCCACAATCTCAGAAAATTAGAATATTGTGAAAAGGTGGAATATTCTCGGCTCAAAGTGTCCCACTCTAATCAGCTCATTCAGCCATAACACCTGCAAAGGGTTCCTGAGCCTTTAAAATGGTCTCTCAGTCTGGTTCAGTAGGAATCACAATCATGGGAAAGACTGCTGACCTGACACCATCACTGACACCCTCCATAAGGAGGGAAAGCCTCAAAAGGGAATTGCAAAAGAAGTTGGATGTTCCCAAAGTGCTGTATCAAAGCACATTAATAGAAAGTTATGTGGAAGGGAAAAGTGTGGAAGAAAAAGGTGCACAAGCAGCAGGGATGACCGCAGCCTGGAGAGGATTGTCAGGAAAAGGCCATTCAAAAGTGTTGGGGACTTTCACAAGGAGTGGACTGAGGCTGGAGTCAGTGCATCAAGAGCCACCACACACAGACAGATCCTGGACATGGGCTTCAAATGTTGTATTCCTCTTGTCAAGCCGCTCCTGAACAACAAATAATGTCAGAAGCGCCTTACCTGGGCTAAAGAAAAACAGACCTGGTCTGTGGCTCAGTGGTCCAAAGTCCTCTTTTCTGATGAGAACAACTTTTGCATCTCATTTGGAAACCAAGGACCCCAAGTATGGAGGAAGAATGGAGAGGCACAAGGACCCAGAGTATGGAGGAAGAATGGAGAGGCCCAAGGACCCCGAGTATGGAGGAAGAATGGAGAGGCCCAAGGACCCCGAGTATGGAGGAAGAATGGAGAGGCCCAAGGACCCCGAGTATGGAGGAAGAATGGAGAGGCCCAAGGACCCCGAGTATGGAGGAAGAATGGAGAGGCACAAGGACCCCGAGTATGGAGGAAGAATGGAGAGGCCCAAGGACCCCGAGTATGGAGGAAGAATGGAGAGGCACAAGGACCCCGAGTATGGAGGAAGAATGGAGAGGCACACACTGCAAGATGCTTGAAGTCCAGTGTGAAGTTTCCACAGTCTGTGTTGATTTGGGGAGCCATGTCATCTGCTGGTGTTGGTCCACTGTGCTTCATTAAGTCCAGGGTCAACGCAGCCGTCTACCAGGACATTTTGGAGCACTTCATGCTTCCTTCCGCAGACGAGCTTTATGGGGATGCTGACTTCATTTTCCAGCAGGACTTGGCACCGCCCACACTGCCAAAAGCACCAAAACCTGGTTCAATGACCGTGGGATTACTGTGCTTGATTGGCCAGCAAACTCGCCTGACCTGAACCCCATAGAGAATCTATGGGGCATTGCCAAGAGAAAGATGAGAGAAATGAGACCGAACAATGCAGAAGAGCTGAAGGCCGCTATTGAAGCATCCTGGTCTTCCATAACACCTCAGCAGTGCCACAGGCTGATAGCTTCCATGCCACGCCGCATTGAGGCAGTAATTGCTGCAAAAGGGGCCCAAACCAAGTACTGAGTACTTTTCAGAGGTCCGATATTGTTCTATGTACAATCCGTGTTTTATTGATTGCATGGAATATTCTCATTTTCTGAGATTGTGGATTTGGAGTTTTCATGAGCTGTAAGCCATAATCATCACAATGATGACAAATCACGGCTTGAACTATCTTGCTTTGCATGTAATGAGTCTCATATATTAGTTTCACCTTTTAAGTTGCTGCACTGAAATCAATGAATTTTTGCACCATATTCTAATTTTTCGAGTTTCACCTGTATTATCACAGAAGACATCACTAATACACCATCGCAGTGCGGTGAGAGGCCCCACGGTGCGGCAACACTAGGCACACAGATACCATCAGATGCGGGGGTACGGTCAGGGCTCAGATGTTCACCTGCAGTCTCCGGGTCTGGCTCATACTGGTGATCGAAGGTCAGGGCGCAGCCTCTCTCCGCCACTTCATAAGGGAAACTGCTGTCAAACAGATCCACACCGCGCTCGACGCAGTCTAGGACCTCGCCTGGCTGGCCAACACCATGGATGAGCCTGCAGAGCGGAAAGACAGAGATAATTCAAAGATTTCAGCAGGAAGCCTATGCAAAAGCATTCTCCAAAACACCACAATGGGGGTATTTACTAAAACTGCATGGTGCAAAATCTGGTGCAGCTCTGCACAGGAACCAATCAGATTTAAGCTTTTATTGTCAAAGCTTAACTGAACAAGCTGAAGTTAGAAGCCGATTGGCTGCCATGCACAGCTGAGCCGGGTTTAGTAAATCTCCCCCAACGAGTCTGCAGCATACAGCAAGAAAACCTATGAATATTGTGCAAAGGAAAAGTTGTTCTTTGTGAGATTCTACTACTTCTGTGGTGTTCAGCAAAAACAGAGCTACAGTATAAGAACTCCACACAGATATGAGATATGGAAGAAAAAACACCAATCAATGCAGTCACAGTTACATAGTCCATCCAGTTCAACCATAGGAAAAAAAAAAGAAGTTATAATCCTACACCCACAGTTGATCCAGAGGAGGGCAGAAAAAAAAAAAAAAACACGCAAAGCATGATCCAATTTGCTCCTGCAGGGTAAAACATTCCTCCCTGATCCCCCGAGAGGAAACTGGATATTTCCTGGATCAACCCAGCCATCCCATAGTTTTATAGTAATTAAAGTGTTACTAAAACCCAGGACCCTGCATTCACTATATCCCCTCTCCCCGGACCCTGCATTCACAATATCTGGTCTCCCAGGACCCTGCATTCACTATATCTGGTCTCCCCGGACCCTGCATTCACTATATCTGCTCTCCCCGGACCCTGCATTCACTATATCTGATCTCCCCGGACCCCGCATTCACTATATCTGGTCTCCCCGGACCCTGCATTCACTATATCTGGTCTCCCCGGACCCTGCATTCACAATATCTGGTCTCCCAGGACCCTGCATTCACAATATCTGGTCTCCCCGGACCCCGCATTCACTATATCTGGTCTCCCCGAACCCCGCATTCACTATATCTGGTCTCCCAGGACCCCGCATTCACAATATCTGGTCTCCCCGGACCCCGCATCCACTATATCTGGTCTCCTTGGACCCTGCATCCACTATATCTGGTCTCCCCAGACCCTGCATTCACTATATCCGCTCTCCCCGGACCCTGCATTCACTATATCTGCTCTCCCCGGACCCTGCATTCACTATATCCGCTCTCTGCGGACCCCGCATTCACTATATCCGGTCTCCCCTGACCCTGCATTCACTATATCTGGTCTCCCCTGACCCTGCATTCACTATATCCGGTCTCTCCGGACCCTGCATTCACTATATCCGGTCTCTCCGGACCCTGCATTCACTATATCTGGTCTCCCCGGACCCTGCATTCACTATATCTGGTCTCCCCAGACCCTGCATTCACTATATCCGGTCTCCCCAGACCCTGCATTCACTATATCCGGTCTCCCCAGACCCTGCATTCACTATATCCAGTCTCCCCGGACCCTGCATTCACTATATCCGCTCTCCCCGGACCCTGCATTCACTATATCTGGTCTCCCAGGACCCTGAATTCACTTTATCCGCTCTCCCCAGACCCTGCATTCACTATTCATACAATGCATGAAGGTAAAAAACCTTGAGCCTTTACAACCACTTTAAACCCAAAACCAAAAATGGAATATATTGCAGCTTATCCATCATTAGATGTAGTGGCTTCATTAGTTTTCTTTTTTCAGACTTTTTTTTACAAACAAAGGATTTCCCAGCACACATACACATGCTGGGTTTTTATGCCAGAAAACTCCCTGGGGGAGATTTACTAAAACTGAATGTGACGGGAGTGACTTTTGGGGGTGGGGGGGACCCCTGTATCATCTCCCCATGCTCCTCTTATGTGTAAGGCACCCTGTGCCTTTTAGGGGTACAGGGTGAAATGTTCTAATATTGGTTTGGGGGTTGTTCATTGTTCTCTGCCATGCGGCTGCATCCCATTGTTCTAGCAAACTATTATGGGATGTAATGTTTGTGTATTGGTCATTGTTCACTGCCACATGCCGCATCCCATTGTTCTATTGTGTGTCTTGGTTTGGTCGGGGGTGTTTCCAGCAGCCCTTCCCCCTGATGGGACGGCCTGATGATGTGTTTCCTGTTCCTGGTTGTATTTCCCCGCCCTGTGTATATATCTTGTGTTTGTGTTAAAATAAAGCAGTTTTACTTCCTGTCTTAAGAAGCCGGGTGTGTCTCGTCCTGTATGGTCAGCGGTGATGTCCGGGGATCTGTGTTCGGACAGGGAAGCGGTAGTGTAACAAAAATACCCTAGTGCAGTCGGGGTCCGGTTCCGTTACACTGGAGCACTCAGAATTGGGTGCAGCTCTGCATTGCAGCCAATCAGCTTCCAACTTCAGCTTGTTCAAATAAGCTTTGGCAGTAAAACCTGGAAGCTGATTGGTTTCTATGCAGAACTGCACCAGATTTTGTACTCCCCAATTTTAATAAATAACCCACATTATTTTCTCCAGGAGAAAAAAAAAAACAAGACAGCAACCATACAAGCCTGGAAGGCATTACTTAACGAAGCCTTTCCCTTCTACAAAGCCACTTGTGCCAGTAGAGGGGGGGTCTCCTCCAAGACTGAAGTTGTTGGAACACACAGACAGACAGACAGAGACAGACAGACAGACAGACAGACAGACAGACAGAGACAGACAGACAGACAGACACACGAATCTTTTAGGACTTTCTGAGTTACATGCGCTGTGGTGAAATTAATTTTAAACGGCACACCAACACTCTAAGGCAGGGCTCTCCAAACTTTTCGGTAGGAAGGCTACATTGTATATTTTATAAATATTCATGGGATGAACAACGAAACAGTTTTATAAATGAAACAAAATCCCCACTTATATCAGGGTCCCCACCAGAGCCTCCCTTACGTCACAGTGTGACTCAGGAGTCCCTCCTTATATCAGGGTCCCCATCAGGGCCTCCCTTACGTCACAGTGTGACTCAGGAGACCCTCCTTATATCAGGGTCCCCATCAGGGCCTCCCTTACGTCACAGTGTGACTCAGGAGTCCCTCCTTATATCAGGGTCCCCATCAGAGCCTCCCTTACGTCACAGTGTGACTCAGGAGTCGCTCCTTATATCAGGGTCCCCATCAGGGCCTCCCTTACGTCACAGTGTGACTCAGGAGTCCATCCTTATATCAGGGTTCCCATCAGGGCCTCCCTTACGTCACAGTGTAACTCAGGAGTCCCTCCTTATATCAGGGTCCCCATCAGAGCCTCCCTTACATCACAGTGTGACTCAGGAGTCCATCCTTATATCAGGGTTCCGATCAGAGCCTCCCTAAGTCAAAATACAACTCAGGAGACCCTTCTTACATCAGAGTCCCCATAAGAGCCCCCCTTACAGCAGAGTACAATCTAGGAGGCCCTTTGTACATCAAAGGGGGGGTCTCCTCCAAGACTGAAGTTGTTGGAACACACAGACAGACAGACAGAGACAGACAGACAGACACACGAATCTTTTAGGACTTTCTGAGTTACATGCGCTGTGGTGAAATTAATTTTAAACGGCACACCAACACTCTAAGGCAGGGCTCTCCAAACTTTTCGGTAGGAAGGCTACATTGTATATTTTATAAATATTCATGGGATGAACAACGAAACAGTTTTATAAATGAAACAAAATCCCCACTTATATCAGGGTCCCCACCAGAGCCTCCCTTACGTCACAGTGTGACTCAGGAGACCCTCCTTATATCAGGGTCCCCATCAGGGCCTCCCTTACGTCACAGTGTGACTCAGGAGACCCTCCTTATATCAGGGTCCCCATCAGGGCCTCCCTTACGTCACAGTGTAACTCAGGAGTCCCTCCTTATATCAGGGTCAGGGTCCCCATCAGAGCCTCCCTTACGTCACAGTGTGACTCAGGAGACCCTCCTTATATCAGGGTCCCCATCAGAGCCTCCCTTACGTCACAGTGTGACTCAGGAGTCGCTCCTTATATCAGGGTCCCCATCAGGGCCTCCCTTACGTCACAGTGTGACTCAGGAGTCCATCCTTATTTCAGGGTTCCGATCAGAGCCTCCCTTAAGTCAAAATACAACTCAGGAGACCCTTCTTACATCAGAGTCCCCATAAGAGCCCCCCTTACAGCAGAGTACAATCTAGGAGGCCCTTTGTACATCAGAATTACCATGAAAGCACTCCCTTTTATCACAGTCCCCATCAGAGCCCCCCCTTACATCAGAGTACAACTCAGAAGTCCCTTCTTACATCAGAGTGCCTATAAGAGCCCCCCCCCCCTTACATCAGAGTACAACTCAGACGTCCCTTCTTACAGAAGAGTCCCCATAAGAGCTCCCCTTACATCAGAGCCCCATCAGAGCACCCCCCCACTTACATCCGAGTACAACTCGGAGACCCTTTTTAAATCAGAGTCCCCATCAGACCCTCCTTTCCATTAGTGTTCTTTTCAGACCTCCCCCCCTTGCATCAGAGTCCCCAGCAACATCTCACTTACATCGGAGCCCTGCCATATATCAGAGTTCTTCAGTAGTGCAGTATAGCACATTCCAATACTTGATTTTCAGCATGTCAGATGGGCTGTCTTAACATGAGACAATGGACATTAACACGCCACAAAAATGTAAATGGCCCCTGAATAAATCAGCCTTTTGCAGTGCCCAGTTTAGCAGAAGTGGAAGAACGTGAGGCAGCTAGAAGCCTAGTCCCCAGTATTGACATGTGCTGACAGAAGCAGAGAACAGAGGGAAAGCTCATTAGTCTTCTGCTTATCCTTCACTGTCCAATCACAGGTTGGGAACAGAGGTATCCAGGATGTAAACGTTGGCTTGTCATGACCCCAACCTAAACACCGAAATGTCAGTTTTGGGTAGCCTGACAGTTTAATAAGTAAAACCTGCAGCAGTTAAGAAGGAACGAACCTGAGATTCCTTAAGGTTTGGATAAGATATTCCTTGCCATCCCTGCCCCCTACTAGTTATGGCCTCTTGTAGTTGCTGCCTGTGGTGGCCCTGGATCCGTGATTCTCCTAGTCTCCCTTTCCTCTATGTCTTCTTTGTGATTCCTTCTTTTTTTTTTTTCCCTTTCTTCTAACCTTTTTTCTTTCCTCTTCTCTTTACGGTATTATGTTGGACTACTGCTGATATTTGTTTCAGCTTTTTGCCGTCCTTCCTTGCTGTCATTGGACATTTTGTTATTTGGCTAATACAAGTCAGCAGGATGTATCTGTTTCTGTGTTATTGTTATGCTCGGCCCCTGCGTGGGCGTATATTGAGCTTGTTGTGTTCCTAAAACAAAACTTTCTTAATAAAAATATTGAAACAGAAGAAGGAACGAACCTTGGCTTCTCCTCTGGTAGCTCTGCCGTTACGGACGTGAGGAGGTTCAGTTTGGTCTCCTGGGTCATCCCAGTCCCCTGGAATCCATCCAGTAGGAATCCTCCCACTGGCCTCTTCGCTGTCTCCCGTGCTGATCTCAGCCTCTCCTCCAGGAGGTCGCCTCCTTCAATGGATCCAATCACCACCTTATCCTTTAGTACCTGAGGCCAGAAATATCCAAAACGACAGGTCACATGGAGTCTGTTTATTAAAGGAGAACTTTAGGGATTCATAATACGAGCACAAATACCATCCAACGCGTTCGGGGCTCAAAGTTGCTAGAAGGGTAAATGTAATAGGTAACCTGGGAATACCATTTTGCATCTGTCTTTTCTCTCATGGAGAGTTGGTGCAAACAAGTCTCCCTGTTCCTGCAACTGTCATTATTGGGAGACTTTTGTGCAGCAACTATCCACGAGATAATAGGCCAGATATAATACAGATCCCTCTGGTCACCTGTTACATTGGGTCCATTAACCACTTCCAGTCCGGACACTTTCCCACCCTTCCTGTCCGGACACTTTCCCACCCTTCCTGTCCGGACACTTTCACCCCCTTCCTGTCCGGACACTTTCACCCCCTTCCTGTCCAGGTCAATTTTCAGCTTTCAGCGCTATCACACTTTGAATGACAATTACGCAGTCATGCAACACTGCACCCATATGAATTTGTTAGCATTTTTTTTTAGACAGATAAAGCTTTATTTTGGTGGTATTTATTCACCACTGGGATTTTTATTTTTCTTGCTATGTAAATGAAAATGTCCAAACATTTTGAAAAAAAGTGTTTTTCTTATAAAATTTTGCAAATAAATATTTCAAAATAAAAAATGATATATTATACACGCATATATATATATATATATATATATATATATATATATATATATAGATATCTTACACGCACATACACAGCGCTCAGCATAAATGACTCCACCCCTTTTGAAAAGAAAGATTGGAATCAATATCTCAATGAACACAACAACAATTTCCAACATTTTGACAAAACTGAGTTTTATAGAACATTTGTGTCGCTCATTACATGGAAGGTTATTAATAGAACTTAGATTACAAAATCTTCAGTTTTATGCAAATTAGTTGATGCAAAAATGAATCCACCCCCAACAAGAACTCCTCCATTCTAGGCATGGAATGAACAAGTTGGAGACATATTGCAACATTGATCGTTTTTCATTCTTCAAGAACGACCTCCGTAGAGTCTGGATGCTGGATGGAGAGCAATGCTCAGCTTGTCTCTTCAGAATTCCCCATAGGTGTTGGATTGGGTTCAGATCAGGAGACATACTTGGACATGGAATCACTGTCACCCGGTTCTTCTTCAGAAATGCCACAGTGGCCTTAGATGTGTGTTTTGGGTCATTGTCATGTTGGAAAAGTGCATGAAGACCGAGGGCACGGAGTGATGGGAGCATCTTCTCTGTCAATATAGAGCAGTACATCTGTGAATTCATGACACCATCAATGAAATGCAGCTCCCAGACACCAGCAGCAGTCATACAGCCCCACAGAAGGACACTGCCACCACCATGTTTCACTGTAGGCACCATGCATTTTTCTTTGTACTCCTCACCTTTGCAACACCATACAGTTTGGAAGCCATCAGTTCCAAAAACGGGCGGCACATTGGCTTAGTGGTTAGCACGTCTGCCTTGCAGTAATTGGGTCATGGGTTCGAATTCCTGACCATGGTGCCTCCTGCATGGAGTTTGCATGTTCTCCCTGTGCTTGTATGGGTTTCTCTCCGGGTGCTCCGGTTTCCTCTCACACTCCAAAGACATGCTGGTAGGTTACTTGGATCCTGTCTACATTGGCCCTAATATGTGTATGTATGAATGTAAGTTAGGGACCTCAGATTGTACGCCCCTTGAGGGTTAGGGACTGATGTGAATGTACAATATATATGTAAAGCGCTGCGTAAATTGACAGTGCTATAGAAGTACCTAAAATAAATAAATAATCTTGGTCTCATCACTCCAGAGTCCCTGTAGTCTTCTTTTTCAACATGGGCCCTGGCAAATTCTAGGTGGGATTTTTTGCGCATGGGCTTTAAAAGAGGCTTCCTTGGTGGACGACACCCATGCATGCCATTCCCCTGCAGTGGATGCCGTATTGTGTCACGGGAAACAATCACCCCAAGTTGGCTTTCTACTTCTTAAGATAACTGCAGTGAACTTGCATGGTGATTTTCTTCAACCCTTCTCATCAGACGACGCTCCTGTCAGGGTGATAACTTCCGTGGACGGCCTGGACGACTCTGTGAGATGGTTGCTGTTGCATTTTTGTAAAATTTTTGTATCACTTTTGCTACAGTATTTTGACTGATAAGTAAAGCTTTGCTGATCTTCTTGTAGCCTTCACCTTTCTTGTGTAAAGAAATGATTTTCTTCTCAGGCCTTGTGACATTTCTCTTCCGTGTGGTGCCATTGCTGACAGCATGAAATGGGAGGGGTGTTTTGTTAACCGCTTCCCGACCGCCCTATAGCAGAAGTACTGGTACAGGGCAGAAGGGATGTGCAAAATCACATATATATATATATATATATATATACATACATACATATATACACACATACATACACACACATTTGTTTGCTGGGTAGGGGGCTCCCCAGCATGTCAATCACCGGGTCCTGGCTGCTGATTCCGTCTTGGTGACCATCGGCGGAGCTGGCAATGGAGAGGTCTGTATGTAAACAACACAGATCTCTCCCGTCAGCATGAACAGGCTGCTTTCTATTGCTCTGCACAGCATGTCTCCCTAGTAAATCACACACACAGCACACAGTTAACCCTTTGAACGCCCCAGATGTTAACCCCTACCTGCCCAGTGCCATTAGTACAGTGTCAGTGCTTTTTATTAGTGGTATGTCAGTGGTAGTTACTCAGTACCCATCCAGTGTCAGAATGCTCACCACAGTCCCGCTAAAAGTTGTTGATCGCCACCAGTACTAGTATAAAAAAAAAAAATTCCATTTGTAGATGCTATAACTTTCACGTAAACCAATTAATATAAAAATATTGGGAATTTTTTTTTTCTAGCAAAGACATGTAGCAGAATACATTTTGGCCTAAATTTATGAAGAAATTAGATTTTTTTAAATCACTGACACTGTAGTAATGACACAGGGCATGAAGGGGTTAACAACTGGTGCGATCAAAGGGTTAATTGTGCTGTGCGTGTTTTACTTGGGAGACATTCTGCTTTGTATTTCTCTGCAATGCTCACAGGAGAGAGACCTGTGTTGCTTACACACCGGTCTCTCGCCTGTCAGCTTTGCTGCTGATCACAGAGTCCCGGCCAGGATCCAGTGATTGCCATCCCCAGCTGCGTTTATACACGTGATTTTGCGCAGCCATGCCACTTTCTAGCAATACTTCTGCTATAGGGTGGTTAACAAATCCTGTTTGCAATCAATGGCATGCATTTGTGGGAGTATTTTGTAGTATAGGGTCAGTTAGAAAATGTTGATTCTGAAAGGAAAGAAAAGGTTTTTGACAAATCGACAAATCTGTTGGGCTGTACTGTATATGTATTAAAATTGTAATATTATAAAAATACAATTAGAAAAAAAAAAAAAAAAAAAAAAAATGAAGGACTGGTTCACATGTGCTTTGCTCTGTGAAGAGCGGTCAGGATTTGGATCGATCTTCAAGGTGTATTTTGACAGGCAGTGAGAAGGCATACTGTCTCCTCATCGCCTGCTAAACCTCCCACTAGCACACATGCAGAGCAGAGCTATTCGCTTGAATGGGTCTACTTTGATGAGATTATAATTCAAAGCATTGCATTGCCTCCCTACCATTTTATCAAAAATACCATTTAAATTTTCGAGGGGGGGGGGGGGGGTGATTTCCAACAGCAGTCCTGTATGTACATTATACAATGAAGCTACACTCACATCATTTTTGGCCAGTAGCTGCAGGCATTCATCCAAGAAGTTCAGGGAGCGGTCAACCGACTTCTTTGCCCTCTTCCTGGAGGATCCACCGGGCATCACCTCACCATCTGCCAGACACTGGAACCAGTCCACCTTCAGAGAGCTATGAAGCGACATGAACTTCTGAGGTGTCAGCTCGATTCGCCCTCCGGATCCCCACACCGATACCGTCTGTGGAGAAAGAGATGTCCGTTCAGTGCTTAAAAAATGCCAAGTCTGTCCAAGTCGGACAGGTCCAATCGCTGACAAATTCATGCAGAGTCCACCTCCGCAACATCTCCAAAATACGTCCGTTCCTAACTCCAGAAACTACAAAGCAACTCATTCACCTCCTTATTATATCACGACTTGACTACTGTAACTCCCTCCTCACCGGCCTACCTCAACACAGGCTATCCCCGCTTCAGTCTATCCTAAATTCTGAGGCCAGACTCATCCACCTTACTAACCGCTCCGTATCCGCCACCCCTCTCTGCCAATCCCTCCACTGGCTTCTGATTGCCCAACGCATAAAATTCAAATTACTAACATTGATGTACAAAGCTGTCCATAACTACATCACCGACCTAATATCCATCTTCCACCCAAAACGCACTCTCCACTCCTCACAAGACCTCCTACTCTCTAGTTCCCTGGTCTCCTCCTCCCATGCCCGTCTCCAGGACTTCTCCAGGGCTTCCCCCATCCTCTGGCACTCACTACCCCAATCCATCAGACTGTCACCTACCCTCCTCACCTTTAGGCGCACCCTGAAAACCCACCTCTTCAGGGAAGCCTACCCCGCCCTCACCTAAATGCCGATCTCCTCCACTCTTCCTACCACTCCATCCCCCACAGCTATCTCCTCCTGTACCACTATCCCCTCCCTCCTAGATTGTAAGCTCCAAGGATCAGGGCCCTCGAACCCCTCGTGTATTGTATTGTTACTGTACTGTCTTGTGTACTGTTCCCCGTTATAATGTAAAGCGCTGAGCAAACTGTTGGCGCTATATAAATCCTGTATTATAATAATAATAATAATAATAATAATAATAATAAAAAAGTCAGTAAAAAGACACATAATATCTACTAGTAGCAGTCACATTCAACTGGACTTAATGTTGAGGACATTTCAGAGCTTATGCAAGCTACTTTTTCAATCTATCACCGACATAAAATGTCATTTATGGCCATGTGAATCCAATGATGTAGACTTACTGGCACTAAGGCTGGGATTATGAATGAAGAAGAGGTGGGTTTGGGTCTCCACAGATTTCTCACCTCCCATCCTGTTCTTGGACAATCAACATCTACACATTCCATGTTGACTGTATTAAGGGGTCAGTGTTACCCGTGTGGATATAAATGATGGAGTATCTTCCCAACATCTATTAGAATTGAAGAAGTGGCTTAGATAAAATACAAAATGTCTTCAACATTACAGAACAAGTCCAGTTGAATGTGACTGTCAACTACTCCAAGACATACCATGACCTGGATACATGAGAACCTTCACAGACCAAACACATATTGCCAGTCCTGGATTTGGCCCTTTGCTCTCTTTCAGAACATCAACTGTTGTGGAAATCTCTAACACTGCTGGGGCTGTCAGATGCCTGCTTTGCCCACCTTTCTCCTTCCTTCCTGACCTCTATGTCCATAGGTGTGCACAGTGGGTGTGCCTGGGCACACCCTAATCACCAAGGCCACTGATAAGGCAGTACATCTGGACCTACTGTACCAGGCCCGGGTCTCTTCAGTTCAAACGGGGAGCCCGGGCACCTGCCGAGTAGAAGGACCGGCTTTACTGCCTTATTGCAGACTCTGATCCTCTTGTTCCTCCCCCTGCAGCGCTCCCCCGGGGGAAAAAGGGGCTAGTAAATATGTAATTTACTAGTCCCTTCCTTTTCTGAATGAATGCAGTGAGCGTTCTGAGAAGCAGAAACTTAGAAGCAGAGAAGCATAGTAAACTGTGTTTACTAAGCTTCAATTTGTGAATGAATAACACTTGTAAGCATTTCCTATTCATTAATCTGTGCAGCTGAGACTCAATTTTAAATGTGAGACATCAGGGTCTGTTTAGACCCCTGATATTTCACCAAAGCCCCCAACAGGGCAGTTAAGAAAAAATGTAAAAATAAAAAATAAATATTTATAAGAATAAAAAAAAAAAAAAAATGAATTCTAAAAAATATTTTTTAAAAATGAAGGACTTGTTCACACGTGCTTTGCTCTCTACGATTTCTGCCATGGCATAGCATCATGGCCGTCGCATGTATATGTCATTGTCACTAGTGTATCCATTAAGAGGTGCGAGGACAAGCACGTGATGTAACGACTGGGGGAAAAAGCCAAAGCAGGCAGACAAAGGAATCTGACATACCAAGAAGAACTGGATGATGAAAGTCTATTGGCAGTTGTAGCTATGCAAAAGAAGATCTGAGGCTTGGCTGGCCGGACAGGCAGCACCGAGGCTTGGCTGGCCGGACAGGCAGCACCGAGGCACGGCTGGCCGGACAGGCAGCACCGAGGCACGGCTGGCCGGAGAGGTAGCATCGAGGCACGGCTGGCCAGACAGGCAGTACCGAGGCATGGCTGACCGGACAGGTAGTACCGAGGCATGGGGCTGGCCGGACAGGCAGCACCGAGGCATGGCTGGCCGGACAGGTAGTACCGAGGCATGGCTGGCAGGACAGGTAGTTCCGAGGCATGGCTGGCCGGACAGGCAGCACCGAGGCATGGCTGGCCGGACAGGCAGCACCGAGGCATGGCTGGCCGGACAGGTAGTACTAAGGCATGACTTCACAGCAACTGATAACATCTTTATAATACATTATTTTGGTGGGCGATATGCTCATTCGTCAGAGAGATTACACAGAAGATATAGAACTGGTGATCTGCATGCAAGCTTTAGGAATGGCATGTAGAATGAGAGTTTGGTTGATACTGAATTACATCTTAAGATGCTGCCGGGATCAGATCTGTCTGCGGTGAGGATTTTACCTTGTTGGTGTTGTATCCGGATGGGCTGGAGCTGACGGGATCGCTGACAGAACAATACAGAAGTGTGTCACTCAGACCTACATAAAACAAACACAAAGCAAAAGCTGTTAACGGGGTCACTTCCTGTTCTGGTGTTCCTCTAGCACGACTTTCCAACCACATTGATCAGAGAGACAAACATCCCCACACAGGACAGGGCCTCGTTCAAAACACCTCTGTGCCGTCAGAACCACCACTGAGGGCAGGCCACAAGAAAATGTGCGTGTTCAGGGAACTGAAATCACAAGCAACAAAGTCTGACATTTCTCACTTCCTTTGCTTGAGTTATTCATATCTTTCATGTTATATACCATAGAAAAAAACTGAACCTTCTACATCAGATTCTGTCTGACAGCAACTTAGGCTGACCCGACCAATGTAAGAAAAAAACAGAAACACTCACCATAAGTAAAGGCAAGGCTTCACAAAGCCTAGAAACATCCCTTAGAATGCAGCCTATCCATTCACTAGAGAGCGGTGACATCACTGAGAATGCAGCCTATCCATTCACTAGAGAGCGGTGACATCACTGAGAATGCAGCCTATCCATTCACTAGAGAGCGGTGACATCACTGAGAATGCAGCCTATCCATTCACTAGAGATCGGTGACATCACTGAGAATGCAGCCTATCCATTCACTAGAGAGCGGTGACATCACTGAGAATGCAGCCTATCCATTCACTAGAGAGCGGTGACATCACTGAGAATGCAGCCTATCCATTTACTAGAGAGCGGTGACATCACTGAGAATGCAGCCTGTCCATTCACTAGAGACCTGTGACATCACTGAGAATGCAGCCTATCCATTCACTAGAGAGCGGTGACATCACTGAGAATGCAGCCTATCCATTCACTAGAGAGCGGTGACATCACTGAGAATGCAGCCTATCCATTCACTAGAGAGCGGTGACATCACTGAGAATGCAGCCTATCCATTCACTAGAGAGCGGTGACATCACTGAGAATGCAGCCTATCCATTCACTAGAGAGCGGTGACATCACTGAGAATGCAGCCTATCCATTCACTAGAGAGCGGTGACATCACTGAGAATGCAGCCTATCCATTCACTAGAGACCGGTGACATCACTGAGAATGCAGCTATCCATTCACTAGAGAGCGGTGACATCACTGAGAATGCAGCCTATCCATTCACTAGAGAGCGGTGACATCACTGAGAATGCAGCCTATCCAATCCCTAGAGACCAGTGACATCACTGAGAATGCAGCATGCACAATATTGCTCTATCTGTGACCTTCCCAGAAATGTCTCCGTGTACTTACCAGCAAACTTCCCAATCCCATCCTTGTACTCCTCCAGGACCTCCTGGTGTTCAGCTCTGAAAACAAAGAAACCACAAATTGTCTTGATTTCCTCTTGTACGGCTGACAGCCAGGGGGAAACCTTCCACTATGATCACGGGTGCTGGTGACAACTGTCTAAGAGGGGATCTCCCTATGGAGAAGTACTTACAGCGAGGAGAGTGTAAGATGAGTGACCGGGGGACCCCTTCGATGGTCTGCAGTGTATCGTGGGTGAGATGGGGTGGGGATGCGGTCTTGGTGTACAGGAGACAGCCGGGAACCTCCAGAGACTTCTCCCTGTTCTGTCCCAGACTTGTGATGACTCCAAGACGAGCTCTTCCCGTCACTTTACTGATTGTCAGCTTCATCATGGCGACCTAAACCGTCAGATGCTGGAAGAACAGAGGGAAAAAGTGAATGGGAGTTCATTGGCTAACAGGATCAGGAATCTGCCAACACAACTTATTATAGACTCAGTGATGTCATCACTGGATCTCTGTGCTTCTCTCATGCAATGTAGACAGATCATGGATGTGGGAGAGCCTGCCAGGTTGCTGTACATAGCTTCCTGAAAACATCACAGCCCCCTGCCTCAGTAATCCACCCAGGAGCCGTCAATCCTGATGCAACAAGTGGGGCGGGTTTTGGGAGGAGTTATGCAACTATGAAAATTCCTTGATAGGTGAATGTCAGTCTGGAGGGGCGGGCATTCCTAGACAAGCTGTATTTTCATGCTGACCACCCTAGGTAACAGCCACATGTGATGCTCAGCCTAGGGGCGGACTGACCATTCGTGCACTGCCCAAGGGCCCAAGGTCAGTAGGGTGCCCCGTGAGATGCCCCTAGTACCTTTCATAGGCTTTTTTGAGTGTGGGTGAGGACACAGGGGCCCCATGATCCCCTATTGCCCGGGGGTCTCATGAGTTGTCAGTCCGCCCCTGGAGCCTCAGCCTCCAATATTGACAAAACTGGAATCCAATGAATGAAAGTGGTGGTGGTGGGTTGAAACCTCTTGACAGTCTCTACTATTCATCAGGGACACTGTGGGGGAGATTTACTAAAACTGGAGAGTGAAAAATCTGGTGCAGCTGTGCATGGGAGCCAATCAGCTTCTAACGTCTGCTTGTTCAATGAAGCTTTGACAAACAAAAACCTGGAAGCTGATTGGTTTCTCTGCAGAGCCGCAACAGATTTTGCATACTCCGGTCTTAGTAAATAAACCCCGGCGGATGAGAGGGAAGGGTTAGAACCTCGGTCAGGTTGTTTTTACGTTTCCCACTGTAGAGATGTTCCTTCACATCCTGTCCTGGAGACACAACAGGAAATGGGAATAAATTCCTCTCTTACAGTGTCACTGGACTATTTGTCCCCATTTGGATGATGTCCCCTCACCACCTTGGTCACCTGTTAGTCTACAGTGCTGATCTGCTGGCTGTTTGGTCCAATGAGCTTATTATATGAAGTCCAATTACAAAATTTAGGTTTGGCTTCATATCCGTCCTGAAGTAAGCATTTATTTGTTAAATGGTGGTCATTTGGGGTTGAATCCATCTCAGCTCTGATATTATTTATATTTATTTTTACTTTTGTTCTTCATTTGACAGATAGTGATCACAAAGTCAATTGAGACATCTTTGTATTAACCTCCCTAGCGGCCTGATTATGTCCATATTTCTGTGCTCAAAGTGGTACATTTTTTTGCATGGAAATATGTATTTTTTGTATTGTAGGCTGTAATTTTTAGGAATAACTCAGTGAAATCTGTCCGAACAAGAGTCTAATAAACATCCCGGGGATGATAAAATTTGAAACACGAAATCATAAATTATAATATAATAATAATAATAAATGTAATTCAATAATATAATCAAACCAAAAACACTGAAATGTGAAATAGAGCGCCAAGTTCGCACATCGCTGAGCAAAGTCGCAGAATCGTTTTCAGTGTCTGATGAGGAATTTCCCCACGAATCATTATCACTCAATTCTGCAAGTGGTTCTGATTTACTATCGCTGTTCACTAGCCGGTCTAAAACCGCGTCTGACCTAAAGGGACGCTTTTTGGACGCCATGGACGTTTCTCAGTTTCCAGGCAGAAAGAACAGTAAAAATGCAGGCAGGGCGCCGGACAAAGCACTCGGGACAAAATGTATGTGAAATGGTTTGATACAGGAATGTTATACGATGTGATTTTAGTGTATTTAGTGAATGTCATTTTTTTCACATTTTTAAATTTCCCGCCAGTTCCGTCCCCCGTACGTCCCGACGTCGCAGGGAACGGAACCCAGAAGACGGATGCCGGCATTGGCCGGAGGACATTGCCGGGGACGCTGCAGGGGGGACATCGCGGGAGCGCAGGACAAGGTAAGTGCAGAAGAGATCCCGGAGCAACGCTGCAGTGTATTCCCGAGTGTAGCTCGGGGTTACCGCTTGTGGTGCTGAAACTTTACCCCGAAGGAGGGGAGGAGGAGGAGGGGGGGGGAGAAGAAGGAGGAGGAGGAGGAGGGGGGGGGGAGAAGGTAGGGGGGGGGAGAAGGAGGAGGGGGAGGAGGGGGAGAAGGAGGAGGGGGAGGGGGGTATTCCCGGGGGGGGAGGGGAGGAAGGGGGGGAGGGGGGGAGGGGAGGAAGGAGGACTTTAGGAAGGAGGAGGGGGGGGGGAGAAGGAGGAGGGGGGGGGGGGGAGGAGGAGGAGGGGGGGGGGGGGGAAGGAGGGGGGGGGGGGGAGGAAGGAGGAGGGGGGATGGGGGGGGGGAGGGGGGGGGGGGGGAGGAGGAGGGGGGGGGAGGAGGAGGGAGGAGGGAGGGAGGAGGAGGAGGGAGGGGGGGGGGGGGAAGGAGCTTAAACTAGAACATAGACAAGAATATAAAGAAGCGGCATCCTCAGTGATGGAAGAAATCGGCGGCAGAAAACAGTTTCATATCATTGTATCCGAACTGTTCCTATAGAGCTGGGATGGGATCAGAGGATAGAAGTAAATAAATAATAGGATCAGATGGGGAGGACACTGGAGGCGCATGCCCGGTGAAGTGTCCGGATGTACAGGGTGATCGGTGGGACACACTGACAGAAGTGACACATTCCATCGCTGAGTTCTCACCTGTACACTGCGCACATGTCCCGGAAGTCGCGGACTTTCTCCATCACCATCCTCCTCCAATCGGTTTCAGGAACGTCATTATCCGCCGCCCCCCTGCAAGCAATCACGTGTCCTCCAGATTCTGTTACCTTAGATACCGCAGGACGCTTCCGTTATGTCGCATGGCATGCCGGGATTTGTAGTCCGGTCCCCATTGCCAGTGATGGGGGAGGTCGCCTTGTAGGACTACCGATCCCAGAATTCCCAGCTGGTCCGGTCCCTGCAGGGAGCTGAGCGGAGAGGAGAATGCTGACCGGAGCCGGGGAGATGAGGGCAGGAGCTGGGGGGGCCCCGGCCGGAGCTTTACCGCTGGAGGAGGCAGAGGACGGGGGGTGGCAAGGTGAGGAGGTGGTATAACCACAGAGCCTGAGAGAGGGAGGGGCCATTGTACCACTATGGGAGGGGCTGAGAGAGATACAGATACACTGCTGAGGTGACAACACATAAGCAATGGTGGAAAGACATAGGCAGTGGTGACAACATGCAAACAACGGTGACAGGAAATGGCAATGGTGGAAACATGGGAAGGGCTGATAACGTGGGGAACGATGACAACACACAAGCAATGGTGGAAATGGCCAAGAGTGACAACACAGGGACAATACATGGGCGGGGGGGGTGACAACATAGAGGCAATGGTAGAAAGACATGGGCACGGGCGGCAACATGTGGGGCACCGTGACAACACAGGGATAATAATGTGGATACATAGCAAAGGGTGACAACACAGGGGCAATGATGGGAATACATGGGCAATGGTGACAACATGAGTAAGATTGGCAACACATGGGCAATGGTGGAGATACATTGGTAGGGGTGACAACACACGAGCAACGATGGAGATACATCGGTAGGGGTGACAACACACGAGCAATGGTGGAAATACAAGGCACAGGGGTGAAAACATGTGGGTAACGGTTACAACACACAAGTAATTGTGGAAGTAATTTGTAGAGGTGACAACACAGGGAGAATAATGAGGACATATGGCCAAGGGAGACAACTCATGGGCAATGGTGAAAACATAAGTAGAAGTGGTAACATATGGGCAATGGTGGAGATACATTGGTAGGGGTGACAACACATGGGCAATGGTGGAGATACATTGGTAGGGGTGACATCACATGGGTAATGGTGGAGATACATCGGTGGGGTGACAACACATGGGCAATGGTGGAGATACATTGGTAGGGGTGACATCACATGGACAATGGTGGAGATACATTGGTAGGGGTGACATCACATGGGCAATGGTGGAGATACATTGGTAGGGGTGACATCACAGGGGCAATGGTGGAGATACATTGGTAGGGGTGATATCACAGGGGCAATGGTGGAGATACATTGGTAGGGGTGACATCACATGGGCAATGGTGGAGATACATTGGTAGGGGTGACATAACATGGGCAATGGTGGAGATACATTGGTAGGGGTGACATGACATGGGCAATGGTGGAGATACATCGGTAGGGGTGACATCACATGGGCAGTGGTGGAGATACATTGGTAGGGGTGACATCACAGGGGCAATGGTGGAGATCCATCGGTAGGGGTGACATCACATGGGCAATGGTAGAGATACATCGGTAGGGGGTGACATGACATGGGCAATGGTGGAGCTACATTGGTAGGGGTGACATCACATGGGCAATGGTGGAGATACATCGATAAGGGTGACATGACATGACATGGGCAATGGTGGGGATACATCTGCAGGGGTGACATCACAGGGGTAATGGTGGAGATACATCGGTAGGGGTGACAACACACGAGCAATGGTGGAGATACATCGGTAGGGGTGACAACACACGAGCAATGGTGGAGATACATTGGTAGGGGTGACATCACAGGGGATGGTGGAGATACATTGGTAGGGGTGACATCACAGGGCAATGGTGGCGATACATTGGTAGGGGTGACATCACAGGGCAATGGTGGAGATACATTGGTAGGGGTGACATAACATGGGCAATGGTGGAGATACATTGGTAGGGGTGATATCACAGGGGCAATGGTGGAGATACATTGGTAGGGGGTGATATCACATGGGCAATGGTGGAGATACATTGGTAGGGGTGATATCACAGGGGCAATGGTGGAGATACATTGGTAGGGGTGACATCACATGGGCAATGGTGGAGATACATTGGTAGGGGTGACATCACAGGGGCAATGGTGGCGATACATTGGTAGGGGTGACATCACATGGGCAATGGTGGAGATACATCGGTAGG